AGCTCCATCCTTGGTACTTCTCAAGAGCAGGTTGGGCAGACATGTGGGTGGGGTAGTTTAGTCAGGGATGATCCGGTCATAAGCAGGGGCTGGACTAGATCACCTCACAAGGTCCCTCCGAGTGCCATTTTCCTCTTATGCATGGCTCTGATCTAGCTCTCAGATGCCAATAGCCATGAGGATGTGGTGTCCTGGGTCTCATGCCACAGAGTGTCTGGGTCTCGGGTCGCTTGCTTGGCTGGTGTCTGTGCCCCTGTGGTTAAAGGGGCAGTGGGGTTGACCCCCACCTCAGGGGCCAGCCACCTTGGGGGAGGAGTATTGCAACTTCCAGGGAAGCTTCTCCCAACTGCTGCAGGTTTGACCCTGTTTATGAACTGAACATCTTTGCTTGGGTGGCCAGCGAACAGCGGGGATGAATGTCGACACGCTCAGATCCAAAGCTCTCCTGGAAGCACACATCTGCAGGCATGCACTGCTGCTGACTTCCCTTGTGTGTCCGAGAAAGGCTGTTTCCATCCACTGTTCACATTCCTTCACTGGTTTGTAGCTGCCCGAGTGATTTGGACGTGGACACCTTGAATGAGGAGCTGCTGAAAAGGGCATCCACAGTCTGTTCTTCACTGCATGAGACTTAAGGGCAGTGGTTCTCAACCAGGGTCACATGAGATCCATTTAAGGGTGCTGCAGTGCTCGGCCCCTTGTGCCCTCCCCAGCACCAGATAGATCAATGATTCTCAGCCATTTGGGCATCCAGGCCCCCTCTTCATGTTTCCTGAATTTTGATTTTAACTCAGAGGTCTCAGCCCTGGTGCCACGAAACCCAGGAAAGATACTGCAGGGCCTTGAGGCTGAAAAGGCAGAGAACCACTGCTTCAAGGCCCCCAGCCCTTATCAACTTCTCCACGTCCTTGTCCAGGCTGTGTCTCACCACAGAGCAATCCCTAGGGGCTTTCTGAGCAGCCCAAGGCAGCCAGCAAAAAGGAGAATCGCTCACCGGTGCTAGCTGGGGCATGGCAACATGCAGCTGCCTATGCCTCCATCTGTCTGTCTGTCTCCATTTCCCTCTTCCTCTCCTGCTGTGCAGTGCAGAGGAAGGAGGGGGATGTACCCACCACAGAGCCGCCCACACCTTTCTGTACGGTGCAGCAGCAGCCAGAGCCCTCTGTGTCACTCAGCGCGCAGAGATACCCAGCACTGTCCTGCAGCGTGGTGCCCTGGATCGCCAGCCACCCCGAGGAGTTCCCAATATGCAGCTCCGCGGAGAGCCGCCCTGCTTGGTTCCTCCACTCAGCTTCGTTGAGCTGCATCAGCATCTCCAGGGGCTGGTTCGGGTGCTGCCGGTACCAGGAGAGGGATGGGGAGGTGGGACTGGTGGAGCAACGCAGATGTCACTGGTGGAGAAACTGCAGGACAAGGTGGCCGTGTGCCCTGCTGGGATCACCAACGCCGAGGGGGACTGGGTGACGGAGTCCTGCTGAGCACGGGCTGGAAAGGCAGAGATCCCTTGTAAGACTGCTCTCCTGTCTGTCTGTCCCTGAGCCGTGTCTCACTGTTCATCCATTTGTTCAGCACAGCATGGTGCATCCTTGCATCAGTGCCCTCCTCCCTGTGCTGTGTCTCATCCCTCGGCCCACCTGTTTGACCATCGTATCTGGGTGTCTGTATCAGCCCTTCTGCACTAGCTTGTGTGTCTGTCTGTCCATCCCCCCATTCATTTATTCACATAGCTGTTTCTCTCTACAGCCCCTGCATGCTGCCTATTCTGCATCCTTGCCTCCCTCCTTCTTGTCCTCTCCCCCGCATCCCCTGTCCCCCTGCCCTTTTCTGCCAACCAGCTGTAGCCTGATGACCCCAGTGGTCCCTTGCTCACGTCACTGAGCTCTCCCCTTGCCCCTGACGCTGGCTGAGATGTCAGTTCCCCCTCTGCTCTGCTTTCCCCTCACCGAGCTCTACGAATCCCACCAAGGAAGTCAGCAGAAGCAGGGCCATCCTGCCCTCTGCCCTGAACACAACAGCAGCGCATCTGCACCTAAGGGTTGAGGGCTGGGGCTCTGTGTGCAGCCTTCAACCCACCTCCCCCTTCTGCCTCCAAGCAACCTCCCATCCCAGGGCCTCGGGCATCCCTCTAGAGGTGGCTCTGCAGATTCCCATTCTCTTCTGGTGTCTGGTGGGGCGAGGTGTCCCAGTGGTAAGGGCTGGGGTGGGGACACTAGTCACCTGAAGCACAGGTGAAGTCCAGACTGAGCTCCCAAGGAGCATGGGAGGATCCAGAGGGGTCCAACATTAGAGCTGGAGTCAGGAGCATTATCTGGAATCATAGAAACACAGAACCAGGCAAGAGCCAAGACAAGCCAAGGGTCCAGCCAGAAACAGGAATCAAAACCAGAGTCAGGACTGATATCAGGAGCTAAAAGTCAAAGCCAGAAAGACACAAAGACCAGGAGCACATTCCTCAGTCTTTGCCCAGAGGTACAGGAGGCCTCAATCTCAGCCCCTGGGACAGCAGGCTCTGGATGAGGGGAGTGATGCCCAGAGCACCCAGCAGCAGAGCCTTGCCCTACAGCACAGGGGAGGGTGAGAAGCCGCCCCAGTCCCTCCCAACCTGCCCTGGGGGAAACACCTTCCTGACCCGCAGCACATGAACAAGGTGCCACAGCCAGGCATGGGGATGTCTTCCTCAGAGCACAAGAAGAAGCACTAGTCTCTCTGCCCATGTAGCAATAACACAATACAGATTCACATCTATACGGGCTAGGGAGACAGGAGGAAAGCGGTATGCAGGCTGGCACCACATTGTCTTGAATTTGCTGAGCTCTCTTCAAAATCCACTCTCTGAGCCCCACTGTTTACATCTAGTATTTATATGTGGCTTATTTTAATTAATGGTGTTATTCAATTTTTGGTGTTATTCAATTGTCTTTGTTCTACTGACACTTTGGGAACTGGCCTAAATCAATTTTCAGTGGACTTGAAAGTCATTTAGCAGAGGTCTGTGAGCTTGGGAGAAAGGACTTCTTATCTCTCCCTCCCCATCTGGGAAGGTTACTAACCCTGTCCTGTTTTGTTTTGAGGGTTTGGTTTTTTTTACTTTGCTAACAAGCAAAGTTGTTCACAAGCTTTGGGACTTGCTTTAGTCACACTTCGACAGCTCAGCATCTGTTCCCTGAAAACAGCTGAGGCTGCCAATAGGTTAGGAAAGAGCCTGGTTATTTCAATAGGATTTTAGCTGATTACATACAGCTCAATTCTTATCCAGAGCCCAAAACATCAGTTCTTATGTTCAATTACTAATAAGCTCCTTCCTGATACACAGATCCTTATTCTATAGCCCCAGGCTACTGCTCAAGACTTAAAGGTAAGCTTATTGATTAGTGGATAAGCTGATTGATTATATACCAGCTCAAGCACAGGCGGGAGGGAAAGCTGTCAGAGGCACGCCAATACCTGCAGACCAAAAGAGGTGCAAAGTGGGATATTCAGCAGCTCTGGGTGTAAGGAGACCAGAGCTGAACCCTGGACCCTGCCAATCCCAATCGGAAGATCAGGGCAATTCATCCCCTTACAAATGTGGCTATAGCAAGCCCAGAGCAGTGTCCTGATCCCAGCTGGGCTATGTGGGGCAATTAGGGTAACCAATCCCCTGAAGCTACAGGTGACTGGTCCCACCTGCTCCAGTCCTTCGCAGCCAAGCCCAGCTTGCGGTCCTCTTGTCTGGGCCAAGACTGAGCTACGTGTTTCAGGTCTCTGTGTCTTTCTGGCTTTGACTCTTGGCTCCTGATATCAGTCCTGACTCTGGTTTTGATTCCTGTTTCTAGCTGGACCCTTGGCTTGTCTTGGCTCTTGCCTGGTCCTGTGTTTCTATGATTCCCTGACTCCAGATAATGCTCCTGCCTCCAGCTCCAATGTTGGACCCCTCTGGATCCTCCCATACTCCTTGGGAGCTCAGTCTAGACTTCACCTCTGCTTTGTCCAGTTTTGGGCTCCACAATTCAAAAAGGATGTGGAGAAGCTTGAGAGAGTGCAGAGGAGAGCCACAGGCATGATCAGAGGTCAGGAAAACAGACCTTATGATGAGAGGCTGAGAGCCATGGGACTTTTCAGTATGGAAAAGTGCAGGCTCAGGGGTGATCTGGTGGACGCCTATAAGTTTATCAGGGGTATTCACAAGGATCTGGGGGAACGTCTGTTCACCAGAGTGCCCCAAGGAATGATAAGGTCAAATGGTCACAAACTCTTCCATGACCATTTTAGGCTGGACATAAGGAAGAACTTCTTTACTGTCCGAGCCCCCAAGGTCTGGAATAGCCTGCCACCGGAGATGGTTCAAGCACCCACTTTGAACACCTTCAAGAGAAATTTGGAAGTTTATCTTGCTGGGATCCTATGACCCCAGCTGACTTCCTGCCCTTTGGGCAGGGGGCTGGCCTTGATGATCTTCCAAGGTCCCTTCCAGCCCTAATGTCTATGAAATCTATGAATTCAGGTGACTACTGTCCCCACCGCAGCTCTTGCCACTGGGATACTTCACCCCACCATCTTCACAGCCTAAGCAGCTGCATAAAGAGCTTTAGGACCCACTGTACCCCTGGCAGGACTCCTGATGGAGTTCAGTTGCCTACAGGCCCAGGGAGGCATCTACTGTGCATCCCTGAAGCACCAAGGTGCACCTCCCTCCTTCCTGCACCCCATCACCTATCCCCTTTGCAATGGCTATTCGTTTCTCCTTTATGGAACAGACAAAAAAAGAGCCAAGGGCCCTTTAAGAGGGTGGAGTCAGGCTGGAAGCCCCACCCAGCAAGGCTATAAGAGGGAGAGAACAAGGCCAGGACCAGATGAGTTCTGGGCAAGGGAAGGGAGGTAAGATGTTGTGGGAGAGAGGGAGGCACTGGGAGGCTGCAAAGGGACCGATACCAGCTGTAGCTGTTGGATGCTCCCCCTCCCAAGGGATGAGGCATCTCCCAAACACACACAAGCAAGGCACCGCAGAAGAGCAACTGCAAAAGAGGCTGGGACTGGACAGGGACCACATGGGCCCAAACAAAGGTACTGGTGTCTGGTCACTGCTGGATACCTGCAGGCTCTGGGACACCCCCCCCACCGCACACACACACACTGGATGGATGGGCTCCAGGCTGTGAGGCCTTGCAGGGGTGATGTAAACTAGACCCCATAAGTGTGCCCACCATCATTGCCCCTTGTTATGCTGCAGAACAAATTCTTGCCCTATGTGTGCTAGGTCTGACATGCAGATTTAGTTCCAGTCTGTCTGTGCTGGTTCATGTGTGATTTCTTACCCAGGCAGTTATACCCGCCTCTGCCCCCCCCCCTTTATTCCTTCCCATACCAATGCCAGTGCAAGAAACCTTATACACCATAAGCACTTAATATCCTTCATACAGCGTTATACACTGTACACTACAAGTGCTTGCACACCATGGAGCTGTACTGCTTTCACTGTACTGGTGCAGATCATAGAATCACAGACAATGTAGGTTGGAAGGGACATTAGGAGGTCACAAGTAGCCCAGCCCCTTGGTCCAAGCAGGTCCATCGCCAAATACAATCCCAGCCAAGGCTTTGTCTAGCCTGATCTTAAAAACCACCAAGGGTCGAGTTTAGACAACCTTTCTAGGTAAACTATTCCAGTGTTTCACCACCCTCCTGGGGAGTACATTCTTCTTAATGTCTAACCTCTACTTCCCTTGCTTCAACTTGAGCCCATTGCTCCTTGTTCTGTCATCTGCCACCACTGAGAATAGTCCAGCTCCATCCTCTATGGAACCCCCCTGCAGGTAGTTGAAGGCTCCTATCAAAGTCCCTCTCCATCTCTTTTTCTGCAGGCTGAATAACCCCAGTCCCCCCAGTCCCTCCCGAGAAGCCACATACCCCAGCCCCCTAACCATTTCCATTGCCCTCTCTCGGACTCTCTACAACTTCTCCAGGTTCAAGCACTGTCATGTTCATGGGATAGATGAGGCCATATGAAGCTAATGTGCTCCCAAAGATGCACTACCTGAGCACCTGACAATCTGTAATAGATCTTTCCTCCCAGCCTCTGGGGCTGGGGAAGTTGGGAGCGAGGAGGCTGAGGACTGGGTTCACAAAGGCATTGGGGCCCCTAAGAAAGCAGGTGGCCATGGGGGAGGGCAGCCAGGGTAGCAGTCAGTGGCTGCAGTGATCCGGGAGGATTGGGGTGATCCGAACAAGCAATTCCAGGTTGAGCCTCCCCACTCCAAAGCAGTGGTTCCTAGCAAGGGTGCCCCAGCACCAGGGGTGCTTTGACCTTCTTTCAGGGCTGCAGCACAAGAGCAGCACTGTTAGGTTCACAACCAGGACTCACAAAACAAACTCAGAGTGTCAAAAACATCCTGCCCTGCTGTGCTCTCTCCATTCTTTGGCACAAGAGAATTGCTCTAGTCATTTTCTGGAGTAAAAAACCAAGTGGAAGCTCAGAGCTGGCATTTTCCAAGGGGTCCTGGAACCTGTCGCAGTTGAGAAACACTTCTCTCGAGGGAGCAGCCTGAGCCCAGTCACCCTCTGCCTTCGCATGTGACTGAGACCCCCTGAGCCAATTACTGGGGACAGGTTGGTGTCAGGCGGAGCTGGGACTGGATGGTCCCTCTCGGGAGGAGCTGCAGTGCCCCTGGAGGTGGTGAGGAGTGGCCATGTGGGACAGGAGCCAGGACAGCAACCAACAGCATGTACTGTGGGTGCATGTGGCAGCAGGAAGTCAGGCTGGGGGGTTTTGTGCAGCTGTTGCCTCTGCCCCCCTCACTGTGTCTCTCACAGCGCAATAGTAGACACCGGCATTGTGCAGCCTGGCACCATCCCGGGAAAGGGTGCTGGAGCGGGAGGTCTTGTACACTTCCATGGTGAGTTCCCCCGCGGACGAGGCCCCATCATACCCGCTCCCCAAGAGAATCAGGGCCCCCTGGCCCAGTGGGGGCTGCTGGTACCAGTACATCGTCTGATGTGGGGTGAAGCTGTGGTTGCAGGAGATGTGAAGCCGTCCTCCTGCCAGCACCGTGAGCCGTGGTGGCTGGGACACCTGGGCCAGGGCACATCTCGCTGCCCCTGGGGGAGGAAAGGCAGAGAGTGAGGCAGGGAAAACCGGACCCCTGGACCAGAGCAGCGCAGGTGGGGAATGCTACTCACCGCAGAGGAGGAGGAGGCTGCAGAGACCCTGCATGGCAGGGCCAGGGCTTGGCTTTCAGTCTTTGTCAGATGGAGCCAATCTGTGTGCCACCTCTTTAGCTGTCCAAGAGGCACTGGGCTTCCTGCCCTCTTGCTGTCCCTGTAGTGAGCTCCTTCTCTGTCTGTCTCTGTCACCTGCCAGTGAGCTCCTCTTCACCACCATTCAGACCTCCTTCCAATCTCCACAAGCCCCCTGCACCCTTCGTTGAGGGATCTGGTCTCTTAGACAGCCCTGGGCTGCAGGTGCATGGGATAGTCGTGGGTGAGGAGGGTCCCCTTCCTCCTGAATATCAGGGCTGCAGACAGGATGAGGAGGGGACAGGGGGTGCTCTGAGCTGGGGCAAACACCCCCGTGCCTGACTGTGGTACCTTGTTCATGTGCTGTGGGTCAGGAAGGTGTTTCCCCCAGGGCAGGTTGGGAGGGACAGGGGAGGCTCCTCACCCTCCCCTGTGCTGTAGGGCAAGGCTCTGCTGCTGGGTGCTCTGGGCATCACTCCCTTCATCCAGAGCCTGCTGTCTCAGGGGCTGAGATTGAGGCCCCCTGTACCTCTGGGCAAAGACTGTGCTCTGGTCTCTGTGTTTCTGGCTTTGACTCTTGACTCCTGATTTCAGTCCTGACTTTGGCTTTGATTCCTGTTTCTGGCTGGACTCCTGGCTTGTCTTGGCTCTAGCCTGGTTCTGTGTTTCTATGATTCCCTGACGGCTTAACTCCAGCTATCACTCCAGACTGCAGCTCTGATGTTGGACCCCCTCTGGATACCCTTGTGCTCCTTGGGAGCTCAGTCTGGACTCCACCTGTGCTTCAGGTGACTACAGTCCACATCCCCAGCCCTTACCACTGGGACACTTCACCCCACTGGCTTCACAACCCAAGCAGCTGCCCTAAGACCTTTGGGATCCCCCTATTCTCTACTGGGGGAAGTTCTGGTGGAGATACCAACAGGCCCAGGAAGGCATCTACTGTGCATCCCTGAAGCACCAAGTTGCACCCATCCTCCCCCTCAATGACCTTCCCTCTTTGCAATGAGCATTTGTTTCTCTTTTATGGAGACAAAAAAAAAAGAGCCAAGGGCCCTTTAAGAGGGTGGAGCCAAGATGGGAGGCCCCACCCCACAAGGCTATAAGAGGGAGAGAGCAAGGCCAGGGCTAGAGGGCTCTGGGCAAGGGAAGGAAGGGGAGCGTGGAGGAGGCTGTGAGCTGGCCTGGGGCAGGGCCAGGGCTGGGAGGAGCTCAGCAGACCCTAAGCAGGCTGAGGGACAGTCCAGGGCTGGAAGCCCTAATGGTGTCACCATGAGGCAAAGGGGCCTTTTCCAGCTCTAGCTGCTGGATGTCCCTCATGCCAAGGGATGAGTCCCTCTCCTATACACACAAGCAAGACTCCACAGAGGAGAAGCTGCAAAAGAGGCTGGGCGCACATGGGAACCCCAAAAGAGGTATTGCTGGCTGCTCACTGATAGATACCTGCAGGTTTTGGGGTCCCCTTCCCCACCGGGTTGTCCTTTGTACCACTGGGCACCTTGATCCCAAAATGGTGCCCCTGTCTCCCAGCTGCAAAAATAAGATCGAAGCACTGACCTGCCTGTTGGGGACACTGTGCATATAAATAGGTTCAAGAGTGTTTAACCCTGGTGGGTTATGTAAAGTAGACCCCATACACATGCCCACAGTCATTGCCCCTTGTTATGCTGTGGAACAAGTTCTCAGCCTGTGTGCTAGGCTGGACTTTGGCACACGTTTAGTGCTGGCTCGTGTGATTTCTTACCCAGACATTTATAACCCCCTCCTCCCCTTCTTTGTCTATGCATTCCCATATCTACACCAGAAACCATGTGCCTCAGCCCCCTAACCGCTTTCCTTGCCCTCCACTGGCCTGTCTCCAATTTGTTCAAGCAGTGCCATGCCCACGGGGTAGATGAGGCCTCGTGGAGCTAATGAGCTCAGATAGATGCACTGCCTGAGCACCTGACTGCCTGTAATAGATACTTCCTCCCAGCCTGTGGGACTGGGAAATGTGGGATCATGGAGGCTGAGGACTGGGTTCACAAAGTCTTTCTGGCTCCTAACAACACAGTGCCAAGAAAGACTTGCAAAAGCATCAGTGTGTTCTAGGTGCCCAATGACCACTTACTTCCAATGGGATCTGGGACCCGGTGCTTGGGAAAATCTGCCTTGTTGCTTAAGCCCCTCTGTAGGTTTGTCCCTCTGGGCCTCTGAAAATTCAGCCCTAGGGCAGGAGCAGAGCTGGGAGTGGGCTGGAGTTTCTAAAGCATCTCTGTACCCTGAGCCATTCACTTTCACTTGCATCCAGGTGCCTCCATGCTCCCGGCTCCCCACACAGCAGCTGTCTTCCCTCTTGGGTGCCTTTAAGAATCTGAAACTAAAAAACCTGCCGGAAAGCCATGCAAGGCCTCCAGGGGAGAGCAGGGACCTGTATCCCTGTCACCCAGATCCTACACCAGGCCCTGGGTCATGGGGCCTCCTTTCACAGAGCTTGGGGCATCGCATCCCATGAAGGTGGTGGGGCAGGAGGTAGAAGGCACTTACCCAAGCTGAGGGTCTGCCTCAATGACTTGGTGCTATGCAGAGTCCTTTCAGAGGAGTCTGAGGGATGCAGGTACCTGATCCAGTTGGGGATACTGGGGTGGAGTACTTAATTTCAGCTACCCCTCTCTGGTGTGGAAGGCTGCCATTCCCCAGAGCTAGTCCAGGACCTGGGCAGGGGTGAGTCTGGCTGTGGCCGGTCCTCGCCTGCCATCTAGCGGGCAGTCATTCGCCTTTCCATCTCGCTGCTCTGAGCTGCTATCCTGCAGGACTCACTTGTGTTCTTTCATTTCTGCTCCTTCGTGGCTTTGGGTGAAGGTGGCATCTGGAAGCACCTGGTATAGGAGAAGACCCCAATGTAAGGCTTTGTGCAGCCACTCCCTGCTTGCTTTTCTTTGCAGGGAAGGAACCCCTCTGGCTCTGACTCTGGCTGTAGCCCAGGGACTGCCCTGCTGCAGGAAATGTGGGACAAATAGCGTGGGAAACTGGTGCCAGAGATACCAGGCCCAACATAAGGCAACACCCCAGTCTTGGCCTGACTGGCAAGTGAACTCAGGCACCCCTCTCTACTCTCCCACCCAGCCACACGTCTGTCTGTCTTTCTGGACCCAGGTTGGCCCCATGATCACAGCACCCAGGCACATAGCCAGGGTGTGATAGTGGCATGATGCTACCTACCATAGCCTTCTGACTAGTCACAGGCTTGTATTTTCCTTGCACTCAGAGAATAGACATTGTAGGTGCTGTATTTAAAAATACACTCATAGAAATCAATACCAGTTGTGCATGTCCTAAATTTAAATCTTTCCTATGAGCCAACTGCTGCCAGCTGCAGAAGACTTGGCTGCCTCCAGCCTAGCCATTTGGGATGGACTGTGGTCACTGGGGATGCAGCTGCTTTCCCATGTAATGGCTCTTCAGTAGCTTTACTAACATGTCTGGTCTCAGACCATTGCTTAGTGCCTCCCCCCCAGGCTGGGCATTCACTTTTCAACAGCAAAGCTCTTATCTCCAACTCAGGGGGGTAAGAGCGGGGAGTGTAATGGAGACATGCCTAACACACAAACACAGATGTATGCACATGCACACACATGCTCTTGCTCTCTCTTAGCGGGGCCCACTCTCTCCAATAAATGACTGCAAAAACTCTTGTTTTCATACGTGTGTATGCTCGCACAGAGTTGGGCTTGTATTCTTCAGTTAGGGGCAGCTGTCACACACATGCACCTTGCCAAGTAGTTTAGACTGAGCTCGCCCATCCCTTCACATGTAGTCTGAGCAGAGAGATGGGGCACTGAGGTTAGCAGGGAGCCTGGATTTCTCTCCCAGCCCTAAAAGGAGACCTCTTCGGCAAAAATGAGACCCTTTAGTAAGAGGGAACAGACTGTGGCCCTGGGTTCCTACCTCTCAGGCCATCTACCCATTCATTGCCCTATACAGCTATCTTTCTGTCTAACTAATCTTCCATTCATGCATTCATGAATACATCTACCCCCGCCTCCTCCTACATAGCATCCATCTCTCTGTCTTGCTCATCCACTTCTCCCCAAGGAGTGAGGCTCCAAGCAGAACCCAGAGGCAGGGTCGTTTGCAGGAAGATAGGGACAGGCATGTGCTCTCTCGAGCTGGCCAGCTTTCCCCTAGCTTCAGAAGACAGTCTGCCTCCCCATCTGGCCACATGGGTACAGGGCAGACACTGTGTGCATGGGTGGGTGGAGGAATGTGTCTGAAAGAACTGGGGTGCCTTTAACAATGCCTTCTGCGCTTGTGCCTCATACCCCCAGCTCCCCACAGCCTGGGACAAGCTGTTGCCATGACAGGCTGTGCTGACGCGAACACAGGAGGTTTTATATTTGGAGAGGAACAAAAGAACTCTGCAGGCGTGGGCCGGCAAGCAATGCTCCTCACGCCGTCACCCCCTGGTAAGTCAGTCTCTATTCCTGAGCAGGGTGGGATGCTGGGCTGGAGACACCCTTGATCCAGGGTAGTTTTACACTCACTAAGGACTTGTCCCAGTGACCTCGGTGCCCAGGTGGTGGTAGCTCCACTCTGGTCGTGTGCTGCCATCTTCCCGCTCAGGCTAGTTCTCCCTCCTCTGTACACAGGATGCCTGGAACAGCTTGGCAGCTGGGAGGACCATTCACCTGGGATGCAGGGTAGTTTGTACCCACTTCCTGCCCCTTTGGGCTACTAGAAGTGTATCAAGATACCTCATGCAATTACCCATTTCTGGAAGTGGAATGACACCAGTGTAGAACTGGGGGGACAGCCCTGTGAATCCTTGTTTTTTTCTGAGATCAGAAGTATATAAAAAGGAGGACAAACCTCACCAGTTGTGATGTTTGTTCAGCTACAGTGCTTTGTGCATCTGGCCCCATCAGGGTTAGGGACTTACAGGGGAGAGCTTTTAAAGAAAGCTTGTTCTGAGAGTCATGGCTGTCTCTAAAAAAACACCAAACAAACCCAGTAAATGCTTTTGCCCAGACACTCAGAGGATGGAAATCAGCTCAGCTTTGTTGCCCTCAAGAGGGCTACACTGACCTGCACCAACAGGACACCTGGCTCAGAGACCTCAAATGGACTGGATCTTCTTTAAATGGAGAGGAAATGAGTAGAAGGGGGAATAACAGACTCTAAGGAAAGGGGGTTTAATTTTAAATTAAGAAATGATACATAGCTACATGTGGTCCAAGCCACTTCAGTTAACTCTTGGCTTATTGAAACCCCATTCTGTGAGTCCCCTTCCATATGAGTTGATATAAGAAATGCGTTACTTTTAGAGGCTTGTGTTCCCATTCCATCAGTAATGATTCTCCTGTGCAGGGTCATCCAAAACCCAACTTCCTAGCATAGAAATATGGCAAAGGAAAATTGACAACCAGTGTTAATTAGCATTACTACTGACTGTCCTGAATGGGGTGTAGCTCTGCCACTGTATATAAATGCTGAGGGTCTGTGGGGTGTTTTGTAGACTCTCCATAAAGAGTTATTGTGATCACTTACAGCCAGGCTGAGAGAGGTACTTGGGGGTGTAACTCATATTACTGTGTGCAGTTTCTGGCTCCATAGTTTTAAAAGGACATGGAGAAGTTAGAGAGGGTCCAGAGGCAGGTGACAAAAATGATACAGGGCTTGGAAGGCAAATCATATGAAGAGAGATTGAAGGAGCTAGGCATTAAGCTTCCAGGAAAGGTGCTTAAGAGGGGACATGATAGCAGTCTTCAAATTGCTGAAGGGCTGCCATAAAAAAGAGGGAGGACACCTTTTCTCTCTTGTTGCAGAGAGTAGGACATGGAACAATGGTTTGAAGTTGCAGGAAAGGAGGTTTAGGTTGGATATCAAGAAGAACTTTTTCACTGTTACAGCAGTGATGTGCTGGAATAGATACCTAGGGAACTTATGAAATCTCCCTCATTGCGGGTGTTTAAGAAGAGGTTGGTCAAACATTAGGTCAGGGTGGTCTAGGAATAGCTACATCTATTGTCTACTATGGATATTTCCCAGGCTTCTGGGATTTTCTGCTTGCCACTTGGGGCCAGGAAAGAATTTTTTTTTCCTCTTCTGCTTCTATATGTGTTGGGGCAGGGAGGACTTCACCTTCCTTAGAATCACAGTATCATTAGAAAATTGGGTGTTGTTTGAAACTAAGGCTGGGAATTGAGACCAAGGTGTGTGAGGCTCCTGCTGGGACTAAAACCCAGAGGTTCCTGGTTAGAGCATTTCAATATAGCAGGTCCACAACTGTAAACTTTTCTGAGAAAAAAATGATGTAGACTAAGAACATTAGATAACACTATCTTAGCAGCTTTCAGGGGTGAGTCTGTGGTTAGCAAGAGCCTCAGGAGTTAACGTTCACAAAGTCTAGTAAAATCATAACCATAAGGAAAGTAAATTTCCCCAATTCACAGTATATATCAGTTTCTAATGGAAGGGTGTCAAAAGGCATCACATCAATGTCTAGTAGAGAGGGAGAGGAGAATAGCTAGAGTGGATCGTGGTCTGATCTGTGCTTTGCTGATAAAGTTAAACACCAAGGAGTTAGGGTTTGCCACTAGCATAGCTTCCTAACAGTCACTCACCCCTTTTTACTGGGGAGAAAATAGCTCTCAGAAACTACTAAGAATCAGCCTTAAAACCAGAGTTTCCAAGATATTTGGTCTGGGTTAACTAGGGATGTATTTCATGTTAGTCCCATTTGTAGAAATCTCGGGCCAGATGCACAATTATTCCGAGAGGCTTGCAGAGGGTTGTCAGCAGTGCTGACATGCCTGGCTCCGTGGTCCATATAAAGGAGTTAGGGCTCAGGTATTTACAATTATTTTGTTCCCTGAAGATACAAGTAGGCATCTAAGCAAAATTTTCAGCAATGCCTCAGTACCTTTGCCTATTGTACCTCTATTCAAATGGCCTGATGGCATGCTGCAAAAAGACATAGGCAATAGAGAGGTGTCATACAGCAGGGACTGGGTGACCTTGAGGGCTGAAGCAATAGGCAGGGATGAGATGCAATATAGAGTGTGAGGTCACACAACGTGCTTCCCTGAAACAACATGGAACTGGACCCAGTAACCCATCCCAAGGAGCCGGCAGAAAAGATCTTGAATCCCTTGGCAGTAGTATTTTCCAAGTTGTGGGAGACAGGAGAGGTTCTGGAGGGCTGAAAAAGGGCTGGCATAGTGCCTTTCTTTGAAAATTGGGAAAAGGAGAACCCCAGGGAATCACAGACCAGTCAGCCTGACTTCAGCACCTCGGGAAGTTACTGGAGTAGTTTATAAAGAAGCCAGTTTCACAGAATCACAGAAAATGAGGGTTGGAAGGGACCTTAGGAGGTCACATCTAATCCAACCCCCTGCTCAAAAGCAGGACCACCTATAACTTCCTCTGGAAAGGGGAAGGCAGATCATGAACAGCCAGCAGCAATTTATTAGGAATGAATCATGCCAAACCCATTTGATGTCCTTCTTTGACAAAGTAGCTAGCTGGGTAAATGAAGGGAGTGCAGTGGGTATAGTATTTCTAGACTTCAGTAAGGCATTTGATAGTGTGTCATGCAGCCTTCTTGTAAGTAAAGTGTATGTGCATGGGCTAAAAGAAAGTACTGTTTTAATTAACCCACAGGGCTAACAAAGGGCAAGAATGGATCAATGTCAGAGGTTTCCAGTGGGGTTCCACAGGGGTCCATCCTATGTGTGCTGCTGTTTCGCATGTTTGTCAGTGATTTGGATGCCAGAATAGAGAGCCTCTGTATCAAGTTTTTAGAGGACACAAATCTGGGAAGGACTGTAAACTGGAGTAGAAGTCAGAAGGATTGTGATAGACTGGAGATCTGGGCTAGAGAGAACAGGATGAAGTTCAGTGCAATTCAATGGAAGGTGAGACACCTACGGGAAAATAACTGAATTCACAAGTACAGAATGGGAGGTAAGTCCCTTGGCGATTCACTGCTGAGAAGGGTCTGGGGGTTTTGATGTGCCACAGACTCAGCCAATGGTGTCACACAGTTACAAAAAAAGCAAATGTCACTTTGGCCGGTGTCAATAAGACTATTAGATGTAAGACATGGGAGGTAATAGTGCCGCTCCACTTGGTGCTGATTAGACCTCGCATAGACTACTGCATGCAGTTCTGGGATCCACAGTTTAAGAAGGATTTGGAGAAAGTGGGGAGGATTGAGGTAGACAACAGAAAATGATGAAGGAGTATGAGGAGAGGTTGAAAGATCTGGGTATGTTTAGTTTGGAGAAAAAGTAATTAAGGGGAAAGATGATAGCAGACTTCAGATATCTGAAAGGCTGCCATGAAAATGAGGGATAACCTGTGGTCCTGGAGTCCCCTTCCAGTTCGGTGTCCAGGGGTCCTGCATCCCTAGCAGCAGAGAAATGAGACGGTCACTGCTCCCTGCACAGTGGAAAACAATAAGGAACCTGTCCTGACGCAGCTGGGTCCTATAGACCCTTGTGTGCTCTTGTGTATACAGGTGAGGGCTGGCTCCTTGTGTACACTATTGTTCTTCTGGGTTCTAGGGGCCCTGAACCCACCTCCGGGGACTCTGCCTGACCTCCGCAGCAATGTCCTTTCTCCTCCAGGGACAAGAATGGGCAAGGCGGCGACCCTGAACCAAACAATGGTGAGGGAATTCATCCTGGTAGGGCTGTCCTCCAACCCCACAATGCAGAGAGTCCTCTTCATGGTCTTCCTACCTCTCTACCTACTGACCCTGGCTGGGAATATCCTTGTTTTAGTAACCATTGTCCATGACCGGCAGCTCCACTCGCCCATGTACTTCTTCCTCAGCAACCTCTCCTTCATCGACATCTGCCATGCCTCTGTCACAGTGCCTAAGATGCTGGTTGACTTCCTCTCTGCAGAAAAGACCATCTCCTTTGGGGGCTGTGTGGCCCAGATGTTCTTCCTCCACCTCTTCACCTGCACTGAGATCTTCCTCCTCACCGTCATGGCCTATGACCGCTACGTGGCCATCTGCCACCCACTGCAGTACCTCACTATTATGAGCCGCCGTGTCTGCCTGCAGCTGACTGGCGTGCTATGGCTGGGTGGGACAGTGCACTCCTTAGCCCTCACAAGCATGACCATCAAGCTGCCTTATTGCGGGCCCCGGGAGGTGGACAACTTCTTCTGTGACGTGCCGCCTGTGATCAAGCTGGCCTGCACAGACACCTATGTTATCGAGGTGCTCATTGTCTCCAACTCAGGACTTATCTCTGTGGTCTGCTTTGTGGTGCTCGTGGTCTCCTATGGGGTCATCCTGACCTCACTGAGGAGCCGCCTCTCCATGGGGAAGCGCAAGGCACTGTCCACCTGTGCAGCCCACCTGACGGTTGTCACACTCTTCCTGGGTCACTGCATCTTCATCTACTCCCGCCCCTCCACCAGCCTGGCCGAGGACAAGGTTGTGTCAGTCTTCTTTACAGCCATCACCCCACTGCTCAACCCCATCATCTACACCCTGCGCAATGAGGACATGAAGAGGGCTCTCAACAAGCTGATGGGGGGTAAAGTGGATGCGGAGAAGTAAGGGCTGGAACATGGACCCCACAGCTTCCTGCCAGCTGCCTCCATTGACTGTGCCCATCGTGGCCATACTTCTTCCCATTCTCTCCTTGCACCAACCATGGTAGCTCCACTGTCTTTGTCCTTGGCTCTCTGCTCCCTGAGGTGCCTGGCATTTGGGGTCTGAGCCAGCTCTGTCAGAGCCAGACTCCACCCCCACTTTGCCACCAAGAGCATTTCCCATCTAAATACAGGGCTTCAACAGAAATGATTTTGTTAAGAATTGGAAAAAAGTCCATTGATCTTATTTCTAGTTTTTGGCAGGTGAATTTTGAGTGAACTGAAAGTTTCCATGTTGTGTCGCATCTCAACAAATGAGAACTGGATTTTCAGTTATGTATAGGGATCTTATTTTACTTTCAGTGTTTTTCCTAGATGAGAACTAGACAAGTGGGAGAAAGCTGAGAAATCCACAATACCTTTTCATGTTTCTTTTTTCTTTCTTCCTTTTTTTTTATGGAAAATTTGTAAGTGATGTTTTCATTCCAATTTTGTTTTAGTTCTGGAAAACTGACAAAAAATATATTTTCAGGTTTTAGATTTTTGGCAGGTGACATCTCTCTATTTCCCATTTCTGCTTTCTTCCTGTGTTGTTCTACTGTAAAAATGAGGAGGCAACTGAAGGAAAACCAAGAATCCAAAAATTGAAAACTTCAGCGTGTTCATTTTTTAAAACCAATATGCAAAGAAACAAGCAATTAAAATGGAAAGCTGCGTTGTTGTTGTTGTTGTTGTCGTTGTTTTAAGGGTTTTCCAGAGAGGAGTCAAAATCTCTCAAAAAAAAGTTTTTAGCAACAATATATTTATTGGGGGGGGGATCAGTTTTCTGACCAGCTCTGCACCATGCCTGGGTTTGTTCCTCAGGGAGCTCAGGGTGCATGTACCTGTGCACTAGCATGCTTTAGTTAATACACATTAAATCTAGTACCTCCGGGCACTTTTTACACATGCTCTCGGGATTTGGGGGGGGCAACACTTCAATTAAAGTGGCTCTTCGGCATCTCACATACCAGCATATCTGTGCTTCAAAATGGTAGCGGGGCACTTGGACTAAAGCTCGTTTAATGACCTTTTAGTTCAAGTGCCCCCACTGGCATTTTAAAGCACGGAAATGCTGATGCAGGAGACTGCTCAATGAATCAAGTCTGCTCCAATGCACTGTAATTACAGCACATCAGAGCAGCCTCCACACTCATGTACAGGCACCCTCCATTGTGAAGTACTAGGAGAATGCACATTAGCCTGTCTTAATATACATTAACTAAAGAGCATGATTTTTAAGTGATGCTTAATGCACGTTAATCTAGTTTAAGGCTCATGAATTAAATAGCACTGTTTTTTTCAGTGACACTTTAATGCAACATTAAATAGGCTAGTGCGCATTAAAGTACACATGTCGATGCACCCTCAGAGCCCAGCTTCCATTGGAATTAACAGTGTCAGAGACAGGCTGGTCTGCACCTAATCTCACTACGCTCATATAAGCTGCCTCAGAAGCATCCTTGATATGCCAGGAGCTAGCTGCTCTTACGGGCTGCATTCTGGCCCTTGGAGCTGAGCCAGTCTGTTAGTTCTTATTGTCCCAGGAGCTGAGGCCATTTACCCAACTCCTACCTCACCTCTACAGTTGGGCCCTACTCTCCACTGCAAGTCCCATCACATTACAGCTGAGATTTCCAAAGCTGCTGCAAAGACTCAAGAGTCCAGCTCCCATTGGAGCCTCTTTGAGAATCTAATAAAACCTCTTCTCACAAAGGTTTCCCAGCTTCAGCTATCTTCAGCACACACTGAGGCCTAGATTCTGCCTGCAATCACTTGGACTTGGCACCAAGGTCCCTTAGGCACTTCTATAAACCCTTCTAGGAGCCAACCAAGTCCTTTAGGAACCTACAGACCTTTTAAAAAGACTGTGCCATGCTGCCTGATGCCTGCTGCTGATTGCAGTTCTTTTTTTGATGAAGCATTCTTGTTGAAATACATGGGCTTGTATCCCAAATGGATTTTTTTTAAAGTCAGTTTTAAAAATGCTTTAAGAAATGCCTGTGTTTTGAAATTGCTGGAGAATTCCCACTTCCTATCCAGTTCTCTCCCTTTTTTTCCAAAGACTGGGGAAAAAAAAGCCTTAAAGGGGATGGGGGGGGGAAATAATATGCATTATTAAAATATATGCATTATTTCTCACCTGCTTGCTTTCTCCTCCAGCGTGACCAGTAGGAGAAAGGGAGCAGTAAGAGAATGCAGGTATTCCCTTTCTTCCCACCACTGGTGTTCCTTCATCTTTTTTTGCCACTGAATGCAACAATGTGAGAGCTGTCTGGGGAAGTGGTGTGTCTGCAGTCTCTCATGTTATCCATTCTATAACTCTCAACTGTGGGAAAGCAATCAAGCAGCTAAGGGGAAAATGACTGAATGAGCAAATAACAAGCTACTGTCCTGGACCAGGCTCATTTTTACCATGCTTTGCCACAAAAGGGGAAAGGACCAATTAAAATTTCAAAATTTGCCCCCAAAGTGTAACAGACATTTCCATCCCCTTCACTTCCAGTTGCAATGGGTTGTTTTTGTACTTTGAGACCCAAAGAATAGGAGCGACTTCAGCCATTTTCTTCCTCCATTTTTCAATTAGCATCTTGCTTGAGCTGTTCAGCAATCTCAGCCACTGTGTTTCTATCTTATACAAAGCCAATAAAGAGTTAGCATCATTTAAATATGTGCTTTTGCCTGTTGTAGGCACTAGGCAGATATTGCACCAAAACAAGGAGCGGCAAAAACACAAGGTCTTGGTGGTCACACGCATTGTTATTCTTGTATTGCTGCTGAAGTTGTGTGTTTGGCTCCCATCCAGACTCTCTGGGTGGGTGCCTGGGGCAGTGGGTCTGTATCAGGCAGGGGCTTTTGCTAGAGGAATATTGAATAGCTGCAGAAAATAAGTTCCCAGCACAGCAAAATGAGTCCCCCCTGCCCCTGCCCCTAGTAACTCCATTGTCTCTCTGCTCAGACCAAGCCAATGCCAGCAACCCCATGGTATGAATTCTGCGCTCAGTCACCCGGGGGTCAGTCTGCCAGACAGTTAATGTACAGCACAATGAAAAGGGCAAGCTCTGTGTGTGGGGAAAACTGGCAAATTCCCAGGGTCTGGGTCCTCAGCTGGCATAAAAAAGTGTTGATCTATTGATTTACACCAACTGGAGACCTGGCCCCTGGGCACAGCTCCCAGCAGCACCTGCTTATTGCTTGCATGGTTCATCCCTTGATCAGAAACTCTGAACTTCTTAACAACTCCCAGTGTGGCTCCACTTTTGCAAAGTGACGCCCCGACCCCAGCTCCCCAGAGCGCGCAGCTTCCCCGCAGCCTGGTGTCCGGCCCAAAATGACACTGCATCGCAGTGGCTCAGTAACAAGGCAGAAGTTTATGTATTTGGGGATAAGTGCACTGGAACCACTCTGGCTCTCCAGAGTGAGATGTTACAGGGGACTCCTGCAGGAGAGAGCCACTTAGAAACGTTGATTGTATGAAGGTGGGAGGTTATCTTCTCAGACTAGCAACGCAGAGGCTTAGCCCAGGGGCTGCCAGGGAAGAAGATTAGGAGACAGCCAGGTTCATATTCATATATCAGAGACTGTGGGAAAGCTAATCGAGAGAACTTTCCTAAGATAAATTCCTGCAAAGGCCAGGAGCAAAGATGTAATCTGCTCAAGGGTGAATCTGAGATCGCTGGCAACCTGCCTGCCCCAGAAGGACAGCTGCCTCTTTCTCCACCTGGTGATGGTCATCAAAATTAAAGCAAGGGGCCCTGAGAGAGAAGGTGCCTGCTTCTGTTGGACCAAGCAGTCCTTCATTCCTTTTATGCAAAGCATCAGAAGGGAGTCCCAAATTCACTGGAAGCTACCACAAAGGTAAAAGGCTTTTTTCATGCAATTTTTGCATGTTTAAAATTGTGTGTGTGTTTGTATGCACCTATATATATATATATATTATCAAATATGTATATGTCTGGGGTTTTGCTTGTTTGAAGGGAGAAGGGGGCTTTGTTTGTTTGCTATTGCTTCTTTTTTTTTCCTACCCTAACATCAGACCATTTGGGACTTTGCTGTCCTGTTTTCATTAAGAACCTTTTGGAGATTGCAGCCTCTGCCTCCTATCAAGCCTCAGCTGGAGGCCTCTGACTCTGCCAGTCTTTACAGGGTGTCTGTTCTCTCCCCATGAAGCTACCCTGCTCTGAAGTTGGAAGTATGAGTACAGATTCAAATGCCCAGGGTAGCTTTGGTTTAACTAATGTGCTTGAGTGGCTGTAAAGCCACAGCAGAGTGGGCTTCAGGTGAGCTCCATCAGATGCCAGAGAGAGAGCCCTCAGCAAGTTCAGGTGTGCCCACTCTGACCCAGGCACCCAGCCACTTCCTCTGTGAGCTGTGCCACTCGTGTCTGTGGCACTGGTTCTGGAGTGAGTAGTGGGGCTGGCCAAAAGCTTTCACACCTCAGGTTTTTGTTTGGGGCATTTGGGGGTGGTAAAAAAGGACTGTTTTGGCCAAACTGTTCAATGTTCAATTGAAAAAAGAGTGAAATGAAACATCCGCCAGAATGCAGGAGAAAGGAGCCGTGCAACTGGGCTTCATTTCCCACTCATGCCGGCACCTGCCCCCAATAACCCCAGGTGCCAACTTATCCAGGTGTGTTGCGCAGTAGGATATGTAGTTCCAGCACCTCACTGCTCTGGGGGCCAGAAACCCACATCTGACTCTCATCCTCAATGTGTCCATCCCAGCTAAGGCCCTGACCCACGGCACTGGGGGTTTCACTGCCTGGAAATGTGTGGGCTGACCCCTGCAAAGAAGCTGACCTTTCTCTGCCGGGCTAGGATGTCTAGGTAAAGCCAGAACATGCTACTCCATATCACTGTATTAAAAAACCCATGCAGCTTCATGCTGCCAAATACAGGGTCACAAAACCAGGAATGATGGGTCATGTTTGTTAAGAGGCTGCCTCCTGGAAAGCTAGGAGTCCAAAAGCTGGACAGATCCAGACTGGAACCAGTATCCAGGCTGGAGGTATTCCAGTGTCATGGGCTTGGGGCAGCAACTGCTCCATGAAACTCTCTAACCGGAGGTCAGACTAATTGATCACCCTGGTTCCTGCTAGTCTAGAGGCCTTGGGAAAGACTTTGCATTGAAAAAGGCCATGCATCTTTCCCTTTATCCAAATAGATCATAGAAATCGTTGGAGTGCCAGCTGCTGCAGGAGGGCAGACGGTCCATATCCCCGTTCGGAGGCTGAAGCCATACAACTGTCCTATTCCTGACAGGTAATTCAGCCACTCTTAAAAACTTCCAGTGGTGGGGAGTCCTCAGCCTCCTTCAGTAGCCTAGACCAGCATTTAAGTGTCCTCTTAGAAAGCTTTTTCTAATGCTTGGCTGCTTATCCTTCAAAGAAAAAGTGTGTGTTCTGTTTGGTGGGTATGGGAGTCTTATTGCTATCATATCCGAGCATCTTATAGACCTGCAAGAAGTAACACGACTAACAGCTGTCACGGGTTAATTCCTCTTTCTATGCTCCCCTGAAAGCAGCAGAGAATGAGGAAAAAAGCAGAGAGAGAGGGGAAAGAGGTCGGGGGGGGAGTAAAATAAATAAAATAAAGTCAGAAAATTGCAAAACAAACAAACAAAAACCCCAAGTATTTTTGTGAGCCACGGGTGATAGCTTATTGGACCAGCTGGGAGGGACATAGAGAAGTTTTCAAGTACTAAGTACCCTTCTTCAGGTACCTGAAAGCTCATCATCACTCCCAGCTATAGAGTTTGTCCAATAACAGATTTCACCCATGGGAGTCCTTGCACCTCTCTCACATGTCCTGGACCATCCCAGTTACATCATGACAGATCTTTTGGCCAAATTGCTATTGTGGAAGGAAAAAAACACTGCAAATCCCAGTCCATCACCGCTGAGATTTTCAAAGCTGCTGGAAAGACCCGAGAGCGCAGTTCCCATTAAAACTATTGGCATTGGAGCCTCTTTGGCTGCTTTGAGAATCGCAGAAAGCATCTTCCCATAAAGGTTTCTTGGCTTCAGCTATCTCCATTTTTCATAGGACAAACCTTGTAAAGGGAAATGCTTGGACAACACTCAGTGGTTCTGCTGTTCTGTGATATTAAAGGACTTCCTGGGAGTATGCTTCCAAAGTGGCAGCTGGGAGCTGGCTCTAGCTCAGCCTGCAGCAGCTTTTGCTCTGCAGATCCAGAGGCCGGTCCCTGACATGTTTGTCAGGATGGTGTTCACCTCATAAGCCTCTTCACATCCCTGCCGAGCCAGCGCTGGTCTGGGCTGAGAGGATGCTCGAAGCCCAGGGACACATGCCCTCATGCACGCATTTGTCAGGGCTTTCCCATTGATGTGCTTTTGTCCTCCCTCTTCTTGCTCATGCTTTGCCTGCCTGGATAGGAAGGAGCTTCCTGTATCACCCCATCTCGCTTGCTCTCCCGGGCACTGGCAAGCCTTCTGCCGGGCATTTTAGTGGTGTGGCAGTCCTCCCTGAAGCATTGGCCAGAGCACTGAAGGGGCACTTCGTGCTGCTCCATACCTCAAGTAACCACCTGCTTCTCTCTCCACATCCCTCCTCCCAGGAGCAGGAAGGCCAAGGCAGGACATGGCACTGCCAAACCAGACCCAGGTGCACGAGTTCATCCTGGCTGGCCTCACTGCCAGCCATGCCATGGAGCTGGCTCTTTTCACCTTCTTCTTCATCATCTATGCACTGATCCTGCTGGGAAACAGCCTCATCATCTTCACCATTGCCTGCAACCAGCGGCTCCACGTGCCCATGTACTTCTTCCTCAGCAACCTCTCCTTTATCGATGTCTGCCACTCCTCCGTGGTCATGCCCAAGATGCTGGCTGACTTCCTGGCAAAGCAGAAGGCCATCTCCTTTGGGGAGTGTATCGCCCAGATGTTCTTCCTCCACCTCTTTGCCTGCACTGAGATCTTCCTTCTTACCATCATGGCCTATGACCGCTACGCTGCCATCTGCCACCCCCTTCACTATAGCACCCTCATGAGTCGCCGCGTCTGCCTGCAGCTGGCCACTGCCATGTGGCTGGGTGGTCTGGTCCACTCTGTGGCCCTGACTGCCCTGACCCTCAATCTGCCCTACTGCGGCCCCAATGCCATCGACAACTTCTTCTGTGATGTGCCCCTGGTCATCAAACTGGCCTGTGCTGACACCTACGTCTTCGAAGTGCTCATCGTCTCCAACTCAGGGCTGATCTCCGTGGTCTGTTTTGTGGTGCTGGTGGTCTCCTATGTGGTCATCCTAGTCTCACTGAGGAACCACCTCTCCGTGGGGCGGCACAAGGCACTGTCCACTTGTGCAGCCCACCTGACAGTCGTCATACTCTTCCTGGGCCACTGTATCTTCATCTACCTCCGCCCTGCAAAGAGCCTGGCAGCTGACAAGGTGGTGTCCATATTCTTCACAGCTGTCACCCCTCTGCTCAACCCGATCATCTATACCCTGCGCAATGAGGACATGCAGAATGCCCTCAGCAAGCTGCGGGGCTGGCAGGTCAATGCCATGGACAAATGAGACTGGGCCAGGGTGGGATGTCAATGTCCTGTCTGACCTGTCTTCCCTGCTCCCCTGTGCCCCTGCCTCTGGACAGCTCATTGTCTTCGGGTCTTGTCTTCACACAATGTTTGCTCAAGGTATAGTTTGGGTTGATCCCTGCCTTCACTCCCAAAAGAGCTCCTGTCACATGGAGCTTCCCACTGGACCCGCCCAGCCCAGCCCAGTTGAGATGTTGGGCTATGGTTTGAATGCCGCAGGCAGGTCCACGGGGGCTGTGCCCTGGATACATGGTTCTGCTACCAGTCCATGCAGCCTGGAGGTTTTTTGAGTGCTTAGCCCAAACTCAGGCCCTGTGGGGTTGTTTCTGTTAGGAAAGGGAATGGGTTACACAGGACAGATGTAGTCCTTATCATTGGCATCAGGGTGGGGATGGGGAATACATGCTTCTATTTCCCCAAACACAGTAGAAATGACCACAGTAGCCTCTCCCAGTCTGACCCTCCAGCGAGCTCCTTGCCCAAGAAGCTCTGTGTCGCTGCTTCCTCTCATGGATGAGCATGCAACTCCCCTCCCCTGGCTTCCTGAACCCAGCACCTACAGCCTGCACCCTGGTACCTGCCTGTGGGGGCAGCAGGGGCATAGCGGTTCAAGAGAGTGCCCTGTCCTCTGCCTCTTCATGATAACCCAGTGTGATGCTGCAGGAAGACTGGGGCATTCAGCTGTGCTGAACGATAACCCAGGGCTGTGCTACAGGGCCAGAGGGTGGGGGAGACCTGCAGTTCCCTCCAGCTGCCTCACACAGGCATCCCTCTTGGGACCCATAATAGCACAATGTGCCTAGCCACGACAGCTCATGACCACTGGCAGCAGTGAGGCTTCACCAGGGAGGGGCATTCTCCGGCCAAGCTGTTTCATCCCATCAGAAGCTGCCATTTCAACCTAGTTGGTGGGTTTTCATCCTGGCTGCACTGGGAACATTTGGGTTTTTTACAGTGATTTTGTTTCAAATGTACAGGGGTGGGGGGAAGTACAGGTTTGGTCATCCCAGAATTAAAGAGTGGAGATTTTGATTTCAAGCTTGCTATGGATCTGAAATGGGTTATATATTGTAAACTCAGAGGGTATGGAGAGTGATTCTGAAGCCTCAGAAGGGGAAGCTGGGATTAGCTCTCACGGCACTTGAATTTGGAGGGCAAATCCAGGCTTTTTCTGGGTTCTGGATGGGAATGAAAATCCCTTTTCTCAGTGCACGGCCTTCCTGGGAACAGGGATTCTGGGCTCCTGGTCCCTCACCAGCTTTAGTGACGCAGGGCTGCATGGGGTATCCCACTGGAGAGGTTTCCATGTTGCTGCCCTTTCTGGGTTCTTGCCCCTTCATCAACAGCAGCTGTCCTAGCCAGGGTTAAGATGAGAGCAGGGGTCAAGCTAAGCAGTGCTCCTGCCCCAAGGTGGAGCTGCCGTGAGTCACACCAGCCAGGGATCAGACCCGCCTGTCTTCTCTGGAGCTCTGCTGTCCCATGCCCCTTCTCCCAGCTCAGTGCTGCTGCAATGCCTCCAGTGCACACACACCTGCAAGCTCTTAATCATTGCCTTTGGGCCCTGTTAGGAGCTCCAGCAAATCAACAGGGAGGAGCAGCCTCATGAATTCAGGCTCTTACTGAAAGCTGTCAGCAAGGAGTGGCAGGGGGCTTGCAAAAGGCAGGACAGAGACCTGCTTTGGGGGCGGTGGGGGGCACGCTTCCAGGCAGGAGTCATAGCAGGCTGCAGCCCAGCTATTCCATATCCATCTCCCCTTGTAGTCACCCCACAAACGGGGTTTCAGGAGTGACTCTTGGAGAAGCTACCAATGTCCTGCCTGCCCCTCAGCTCATCCCCTGCCATCTGTTCCTGACCCAGCGGGGAAGAGGGGAGTAGATGCAGGATGCCTGGGTCCTCTTTACAGTTCTTGGAGGGAAGTGGAGCCCTGTGAGGGTGTGGGAAGGTAGGACGCTCTTGTGGGTTAGAGAAGCGGGGCTCAGAGTCAGGACCGCTGGGTTTCAGGCCTGGCAATGGAAGGGGTGGCCAGTCAAGCGGGAGGAGGAGGGCTGGGAACAAGACCCTAGGCCTAGCTCAGTGAGTGATGTGCAGTCTAGCAGGTGAGCACTCAGGCTTTGGCAGCCAGGACTCCTGGGTTCTAGTCCCAGATACTGTGTTGACCCTCAATAAGATACTATGGTGACACACAACTAATCCCAAATCCCCACACAAGCATCTCTGCTTGACCCCCTTCCCCTCCCATCAATCCAAACCCTCTCCCTGCCACCCACTCTGCTGAGTAGACCTTATCTCTCAAGTGAAGGTAGGGAACAGGAAAATATCCCCTACCCCCACTGAAGCCTGCCAGAGAGCACAATATGAGCAGACAGGTGTTTCCCATGGTGCCTTGGAGTCCACAGCCCCAGACCTGGAAAGAATCATTCTAGAGAAGAAAAATGCATTGAAAATAGCTTTAATGGTGGGTGGGGGGAACTCAGGGCTTCATTTGAGTTAAATGCAGGGGGAATATTAGTCAGTGCATCAGACCCTGTATCCAGCTGGGCCCCGTGTGATCTGCATTTCTTGCCTTGCTGCCTGGAGACTGCTTTTCCTTGAACTCCCAGCATCTCGACTTTATTATTTACAAGGCCTGGGCATCAGTGCAAGGTAAGGGCATGCATGCATCATAAGGGCACAAGCAGCTGCAGTAGTATGTGGTGCGGGGGATTGCTGGTGTGTGTGTGCATGCATGGGCAGGCATGTGCTCTTCCCTTGCACACAGGCTCATGGACAGGGGTGCATACTGCAGCTCTCTCTCCTGGGCTGAAAAGCTCCCCATGTGCTTCCTGCCAGTACATCCCAGGGAAATGTCCAGCTCTTGGCTAGAACAAAGAGGGGTAGAACTGGTAACATCACCCTGATACGCCTCCCCACCACCACCCACCCACATGCATACTGGAGCTGTGCCCTAGGGGCTTATGTCTGGGCACTGTCTTAGCTAGGGTGAGGTCACCCAGGAAGGTAGGCAACTCTGTGAGGGGGAGAGGGGAGGGTCAGAAAGAGCCACAAGGCTCTTCCTTGATTTATACACACTGAGGGCTTGGGCTAAAACCTCTTGTTCTCTTCCCCCGGGAAAGATCCATCCAGATGGACACCACACCCCCCAAACTCCGATCTCTTCCCCCCTACCCGTCAGGGGAGATCTCCTGCCACCAGTCTCCTTGCACCGCTGTGTGAACCCCACCCCCCTTCTCAGCCCCCCGTCCATCTGTCCATCCATGCATGGCCCCTACTCCCCCCAGGAGAAGATCCCCCGGCGCCACAGCTTCCACATGGAGCCCTGTATCTCCTGGTTGCGCAGGGTATAGATGACAGGGTTGAGCACAGGCGTCACCAGGGTGTAGAAGAGGGATACCACCTTGTCCAGTGAGAAGCTGGTGGCTGGGCGTGTGTAGATGAAGATGCAGGGGCCAAAGAAGAGCACCACAACTGCCCAGTGGGCTGCGCATGTGGATAGCGCCTTGGACCGCCCAGCAGCCCCCCGGCCCCAGATGGAGACCAGGATGGCCAGGTAGGAGCCCAGCAGGGCCAGAAAGCAGGTGAGGGAGATGGTGCCACTGTTGGAGACTATGAGGACACCGGTCTGGTAGCTGTCGGTGCAGGCCAACTTGACAATGGGTGGCACATCGCAAAAGAAATTGTCAATGATGTTGGGGCCACAGTAGGGCAGCCGCAGGACAAGGGCGGCCTGCGCCAGGGAGTGGATGGTGGCCCCAACCCAGAGGCCACCTACCAGCCCAGCACACCGCGAGTGGTGCATGAGGATGGGGTACTGCAGCGGGCGGCAGATGGCTATGCAGCGGTCGTAGGCCATGACGGTGAGGAGGAAGATCTCCGCACAGGCACTGAGATGAAGGAAAAAGAGCTGGGCCACGCACCCTCCAAAGGAGATGGTCTTCTCAGCTGCCAACAGGTCCCACAGCATCTTGGGGCCGGTGACCGTGGCATGGCAGATGTCAATGAAGGAGAGGTTGCCCAGGAAGAAGTACATGGGCAGTGTGTAGAGGCGCCGGTCGCCAGCCACAGTCACCAGGATGAGGAGGTTCCCAGCCAGGACCAGCAGGTACATGAGCAGGAAGAGTGGAAAGAGCAGCAGCTGCAGTTCCCGGCGTGCTGTGAGGCCCAGAAGCACAAAGTGCGTCACCGTCGTCCCGTTCTCCCCATCCATCCAGCCAGCACGGGGGGAGATACCCACAGCTGGCCCCTGGGAAAGGGAGAAACCAACAACTGGTGTGAGCCCTGAAGGCCAGGTAGGGACTTCCAAGCTGTCTGCAGGGGGGCAGACAGTGTTTGATGCCACTGAAAGCATCTGGATAACCCCAAGCAGGAACACTGCCCATGTGACCCTTTGAGGGAACAGGAATGGGACCCTGCTCCCCTAAACTTTTTGGATAAGCCTACTTAGCATGTTAACAGTGGGAAGGAGACAGGGAGGAAAGAAGACCCTTAGCAAGGCTATTAATGACTGGATCCCACCAAGGGTTCATACATACAACTCAGTTATTCTAAGCAACAGCCCAGTCCAGGCACGCATCATGAATAAGTCATTATACCACACACATGCATGCATACACACATGCACACCCATATCCTACTGCTGTCTTCATGAAAGGGTTCAGGAAGCAGCCACAAAAATGATTCCAGTTTTGGAAGAAAAACCTGCCCCAAAGAACAGTTCAATCTACTTCACCCCCAGAAAAGGCAGGGAAGAATGATCTTGATCCGAGTAAGCTGCTACCTACGTGGGGGGAGATTCCTGATAGCAGAAGGCACCTTAGCCAGCAAAGGCTGTAACCAGACAATTGGGATTGGAAGCAAGGTGCAAATGTTTAATGAGGAGAATAAGCCATTGGGATGATTTGCAAAGAAACTCCATCGTAGGACCAATATTGGGGGACTTTCTAAAAGGTCTGCTCTAGTCCAGGGACAGGCTGCTGAGCTCATCTCTAGGATCCCTAAGTGAAAGTATCCGGTGGGGGGCATGTAGGAGGGCAGACTGGATGATCCCCCAACCCCTTCCTGAATGTAGCCTCTGGCTCTTCAGAACCACAGGGCAGGTCCCTAGGCTGGAAAGGAGAAAGCAGGGATAGATGCCGGGGTGGGAATCTCCAAAACGTGTCATCCAGATCTGCCTAAATGATCAGGATCGCCCCCTTCTGCCCTCAAAAACCTGAGAGTCCAGGGAAATATGGGGCAACTGCAATGTCAGGTGGGGAGGCAGTGAAATGGAGCAGCCAGAAATACCCAGAAAACATGTTTGATACTCATGGGGTGTGAATATCCATTTCCCCTTAATATACATGCAGGCAGGGAAAGGAGGGGAGTTTCTGCCCAGGGCATGCGGGAAGGCAAGTGCCTCTCTCTGCTGTGCTGGAGACCTTTAGAGGTGCGGACTCACGATGGGGTAAGCAGGGTGACAGAGTGGACGATCTGCCCTCCTCCCTCACCACCCCCTACTAATCACTTTGGGGCTGGCTGTGGCAGAAGGGGATTTACCTGAATCGGTTCAGAGTTAGGCTGAGTGCAGATGTGACCTCTTGAGCTGCCTCTGTGCCGGAGAACTACTCGGGCTCATGTTCCTGTGGAGAAAGAAGAAGGGCCAAGGAACAGCCTGCGTGTCTTCTTTCTCTTAGAAATGCCCCTGCAGCTGCCTTGGGTTTTTAAGCAGGGTGACATGCCCTCCTTCCCACCCCCAAGGCCAGCTAAAGCCAAGCTGCACACCGGCCAGACCTTCTTTGGGTCTAACAGAGCAGAGCCAACCAGCCTCACCAGAGACACCGGCTCTCAGGGAAAGCTCTTGGGTGGCTTCACCAGCTTTGGTGAGGGAGCCAGGGTCTGTGTGTCCATCGGAAGCAGGAGTGGGGAGACCTCACCTCCCTCACCTCTTTTTTTTTGGCAGTCAACTGACAGACAAAGAGGAAACAAGGGATGGGCAGCTCCATTCAGCCCTGATATCTGCCGCTCAGTTCCTCTGAGAGCAGAGCCACGGGGTGTGGGGTGTCACATCAGGCACCCGAAATTCCTGGGCTCTGTTGCAGACACAGGGCTTGGTGATGCACCCGAAGCTCATGGCAGAAGCCAGGAGAGAAGCCTTCCCCCAGCACAGGGGAGCTTGAGCTACATCCCCGGTGCAGATAGCTGTCACTGATTCAACCCTCTGGACAAGGGCTGTGGCACCACCGGCTCACCCAGCCCAAGGGAGGATGAGGAAGAACGCCACCTGCCAAAGGGTACCCACTGGTATGAGTTTGTGCAGCCAGGAGCAAGGGCCTTCTGGAAACCCAGGGTCCAGCAACCTCCCTTCAGGACCCGGTTGGGGTGGAGCGGTTACCTGCAGAGCAGACCGGCAGCCCCTGGGCTTCAGATCCTCCCCACCTGCTATCAGCCCTCTCTCCACCTGCTGCTGGGTGCTCAAGCTAGAGCTGCCATTGCCTCTCCGATATAAGACGCCCTGCTTCCACGCAGGCATCTTCCACCTGACTCCAGGTTCTGTGCAGGATACCGGCTGAAGCTGCCAGTTGTTGCAAGTCTTGTGCGCCTTTCCCTAATTAAATCACCAGGGACACGGCTTCTTTTTTCCCTTTTTTTTTTTTTAAGCAAAGAAAGTGCTATTCCCATGTGCCACGTTGGCAGGGAGCTGGAGGGGCCGAACACCACAAGGAACCAAGCAGTATCACCAACTCCAGGTTTACTGGAGGAAAAACACCCTCCAGACCGGAGCCCCGATCAGCCACAGTGAGACTATTTGGACAGCGACCTGGCAGAAATCAGAGCCCTGTCCTGCCCTAAGCCATTGCTCTCCTCGCTATTTGAGTTTTCTGTCAAAGGAGACATTTCCCTCTCTGTTCCCCCATTCTGTCCCACTTTTTATGTGGCTCATAGCAGCTCTCGCTGATCAGTCAATTTATCCTCATGAAGAAGGAAAACTCTATATAATCCAGCTCATGTTATAGGTGCTCTGCTATGATCATGTCTGTTGTGAATGGAAAACTGTGCTCACTGTGGTGTGTAGAGGAATGACCCTTGGGCCCAGCACTGACATGCTGGTGGGTGAAGTGCAGGAGAGACTCCAAGCAAGAGTTATTTCTTGGCTAAGGGCAAGGCCCTCTATGCTATTCTCTAAGGGAAAGTGCCTATAAGTACAAGACCCAGTACTGATTTCATAGATTTCTACAGTCGGAAGGGACCTGGTAGATCATCAGATCCAACCCCCTGCTCCAGGCAGGAAAGAGCAGGTTATGTAACCCCAGCCAGATGCCTGTCTAATCTCTTCTTGAACACCTCCAAGGTAGGGGAAAGCACCACCTCCCTTGGAAGCCCATTCTGCATTTTGGCAACCCTCACCATAAAGGATTTCTTCCTTATGTCCAATCTAAATCTATCCTCCTTCAGTCTGTGGCCATTATTTCTGGTAACCCTGAGGGGTGCCCTGGTAAACAGTGTCCCCTAGTCCCTGCTGACCCCCCCCTTGATGAGTTGTAGGCAGCCACAAGATTGCCCCTCAGCCTCCTCTTGAGGAGGCTGAAGAGATTCAGGTCCCTCAGTCTGTCTTCATAGGGTCCGTACCTGCAGGTCCTCAACCATACAAGTAGCCCTCCTCTGAACCCTCTCAAGGGTATCCACATCCCTCTTGAAGTATGGCGCCCAAAACTGGATGCAGTACTCCATCTGCAGCCTCATCAATGCCACATAGAGGGGAATTATCACTTCCCTAGACCTGCTTGTGATGCACCTGCTGATGCAAGAAAGAGTGCGGTTAGCCTTGCTTATCACCTCGTCACACTGGTGACTTGTGTTCATTTTTGCATCAACCAGGACTCTGAGGTCTCTTTCCACTGTGGTGCTCAGAGTGGGACCCCCCAGTCTATAGGTGTGTTGGAGAGCCTTTTTCCCCAGGTGCAGCACCTTGCATTTATCCTTGTTAAATTGCATCCTATTCTGATCCGACCACTCCCCCAGTCTATCCAAATCTGCCTGAATTCCCTCCCTGCCCTCCAGTGTGTTTACTGTACCCCATAGTTCAGCGTCATCTGCAAATTTGGACAAGGTGTTTTCAGTGGATGGAGGTACAAGCCTCTTGCCCATTGCTTCTTAAAGAGCGAATATCCCACCACATCCCGGCCTTTGAGTAGGTCTAAGAAAGTCGAGGGTTCTGGAGCAGTGGTGATACCCAACCATGGGGAGGAGTGGGGGGCCTCTAGCCATGGAGCAGCCATGACCTCTAGCAGAAGCAAAGGACAACAGTTCCCAACAGAGATGACCTCTGACAGAGAAGACCAAGGAGCAGTGATTCCCAGCAGCGGCGAACTCTGGTATGGGCCTACTTACCCAACACCTGCTCCTTTGGCCAGAGTTGGTGGCAGTGCCCCTTGGGTGAGTCTCCCTTCCCAGCAACTTGGGCTAGGTGGTCGCTCCCCTGGGCTCGTTTACCAGTGGTTGTGAGAGGCTGTAACCATGGGGGGTTCAGCTAAAATCTAATAGATAAAGGTGTCTGTAAGTCTGTTTTCCCTCTTTTCACCATTGATAACCTAGTGACTATGAAATGTTGCTTGTGAATCACTTTGGAAGACCCCAGGCAGGGGTGGATCTAGTGCACTGCATCTAGATGCACTAGATCACTGGTGCACTTGCACCCGCCTTTTCCTGCTCCACTCAAAGTTTAAAACTAACTGCCTGGCAGTGGTAGCAGCATCTCTAGGCAGGCAGTGCTGAGGGAGTCGATTGACTTCATGGCTCGTAATCTACTTGGTCCTTTCTGAACTCCTCATTCTGCAGGTGATAAGGACCCTCTCTCTTTTTTCATGACCTTGATGTTCTGCTAACCAAGCCAGCCTTTTGTCTGCCATTCTGCTGTCTGTTAGCAGTGGCTGGTCATGTAGCTCCTATTTCACAGCCTTGCAGACTGTTTTGAACTCATTCCAGTGGAGTGCATATTTGTTTCTTCACCTGAATCCCATAGCCCTAGGTAAAGCTTCTAGTTTCTTTCTACCTGGAGAAACATGGGTTGTGTTATATGTGATGATGCACCTTGCTACTTGCACCCCCTCTTCATAATCCTGCATCCACCCATGATGTTATTTCCCCAAGTTTCTGGCTTTGGGGGCCTGGAACCAGAATATGAGGTTGATGTTAAATCCCAAACTTTGAGCCCAGGCCTCCTTCCTGCTGTCTGGTCTATGACAGAAGTGTTCCCCTTCTGGGACGGTGTTTCTGGACTCTCTGGAAACAAGCCCCCACTCCTCCCTCCCCTCAGATTTATTGTCAGTGACCCTGTACCAGCTGTGTGGATGCAGCCTGGGACTCCCAGTACACCCTGTTCCAAGCAGGGAGGGCACATCAAATCCTACCCTGCAACACCAGGGCACTGGTCCATGAGGATGGGGGAAGCAGAGCCCAGCAGAGGGAAGGCTCAACAGGAAGCTGGGCTGGGGTTTTTGTGCAGCTGGTGCCTCTGCGCCCATTGCTGTGTGCTCACAGCACAGTAGTAGATGCCAGCGTCACGAAGCCTGGTGCTGTTCCGGGTGAGGCTTGTGAAGCGAGAGGTCTTGTCCACAGTCAGGGTGAATTCCCCCATGGATGAGGTCCCATCAAACTTGCTCCCCAGGAAGATCAGGCCCCCTCGCCCCTGCAGAGACTGATGGTACCAGGACATTTGGTCTGCGGAAGTGACATTCTGGTTGCATTGGATCAGGAGCTGTCCTCCTTCCACAGTGGTGAGCCGGGGTGGCTGGAACACCTGGGCCAGGGCCCATCTCGCTGCCCCTGGAGGAGAGGCAGAGAGTGAGGGAGGGCGAACTTGCCCCCACCTGGAATGTGATGCCTGGATTATATGGGGCAGCAGGAACCAGGGGCATTGGTCCCAGACAATTAGTGTCACAAGTGATAGCAAGAGAGGTGCAGGGAGGATGGAGGGATCAACTGGAAGACACTGAAGAGGGAAGGAGAGGCAGATGGAATAGGTGTGTAGGGTGGATGGACAGATAGAAAGAGGAAAAGAAGGAAGGAAGAAGTAATAGTCTTCCTTGGAACAAGGTAAGGGTGAAAAGTCGAGGTGCAACTGGGTTAACAGTACCCACTGCTGGGTTAATGCTAGCCACTGCTGACCTTTACCTTTGTCATTCTGCAAGGGTCATGGGTGGCAGTATGATAGCAAGCACTGGACAGAGGAGAAGCAAAGAGAGTCCTACTCACCAAGCAGCCAGAGCGCAGACAGGAGCCCCTCCATGGTGGTGCTCAGGGCTATCTACCACGTTCCCAGGAGCTCTCAGGACCAGCACGATGGTGTCTCCATCTTCCTAACCCTCACTATCCTCCCCAACACACTGCTGCCTCTGATGGTACGAACCACAGGGCTTCAAAACAACACCCCCCTGCCGCCACCCTCACAAACAGGCAAACCACTTCCCTTCTGATCCTCTGAGCAACAGAGTTGCCGGGAGTTTAAGGGAGAGACTGGACCACGATGTACTGTACAGCTATCACCATTGGTCATTACAGAGTCCTGCCAGAGATGGATGGCTGGACGGATGGATGTAAGTGCACAGTTGCACTCACTAAGATGCTGTGGTTATAAAATAGAGTGGAGTGTTGTAGCTGTGATGTGTGTGTGATGTGTGATGTGTGTCCAGGACATAGATGAGAAGCCCTTGCCTTGCATAAAAATAGAACACCTTTTCTCTCCTTGTGTCATCTCTCTCTGCCTCTCTATCTATCCCCGCTTCCTTTCCTCTGCAGTATCCCTACTCCCTCTGCATAGTACATAGCCCGTGATAGAGACCTGGCCCTGTCCAGTGCCACAGCTAGCCAGTGAGACAACCTCTATCCTACAAAGCATAAGGTCTAAATGCAAAAGGGTTGTGGACAAGTGGTGTTGTCTTGGACAAATCCCCTCAATTTCCCCCATGTTTTAGTGTCACCCATATACTGTTTCAGGGAGGCCAGGCCATTGTGAGTCGACCTTGGTTCTGGAGGACGCTATCTCAAGGATTGATTCCCCCTTCCTGGCAGAAGTGTGCCCCCGCTTCCCTGACTGTCCATGCCCAGCCCCAGCTCCCAGCCATCAGATTTTGTACAAGACAGAACCCCCCCCCCCCCTTCAGTGTGCAGACATCATTTCCCC